CTTAACACACAACTATTGATTTGTTCACAGTATTTTTTGTCATCTAACTAGTCTAATTGTGTTGTCCGCTGGCCTTTACAACTTCACCGGACGAAAATGTGGATGAGTGCAGAAAAAACCCTTAACTCGTCCTCGTTTCCTATATATACGTAAGTTCCAAACTTTTCTTAACTGCACTGTAAAACAGCAAACGATTTATTTGGTCATATTGTAAATCATAATATCTTCTCTGAGTTATAGACCGTTTTACTGCATTTATTTTAAATTTTATTATAAGCAGCAATTGTATTGATTTTTCTTTCAGACAAATTAAGACGATTATTATTATTATTATTCAGAATCAAACTAAAGGCACGCGCGATGGAAAATGCGAAATCTATTTAATACGAGTTCATTATGATTTACTTAATATTATTAATACTAATATAGAATTACCAATTAACTGAAAAACACAAAATTAATTACACAACCTATCATATACATTATTTGTAAATACTTTTGTGTGCTCTACTGCAATATCAAATAGAGATTAAAATGTAAAAAATTGAGCAGATTACACGGATTTCAAGATAAACCATCAATTATTTCAACTAAGAGTAATTAAAGAAATTCGTTTAGGTGTAAGATACCTTACTACAAACTATTAACAATCAACGTAGAACTTGAGATAAACTAAAAAACGTTCGTGCCAAATAACAGTTAACGGTTAATTTTAACGAATACATAGGAAACATAAAACCATTACTGAGTTCAATTATAATCAAGTGGAAGCCAAACCGGCCGACATAGTATTAAAAATAAATGCTTCTGAAATGATCAGAAATTGTAATAGAAAAAGCGTGTCGTATAGATATAATTGCTGAACGCGTGTAAGGGAACGCTTATCTCGCGCTTTTCGCTCAATAACGGTAAATATTTGTTGGAAAAACATTGCTATGTGGCGTGTATTCCCACACTAGAGATTTGGCGCGGTCGGATTATGATTCTATGATTCAATACGCTTTACTTTGTTTTGAGAAAAACTACGTACTCTATTCTTATCTCTATTTATGACATGGAGTGATGGAGTAGGTAATAGTAATAACGACTTGAAATGTAACCCAATTGCTAGCAATGTACCAGTAATGTAGTATATCAGGTCGGCCACGGTGTCACCTCCTGGGACATATCGTGGTTAATTTCAAATGGACAATATTCCATTAATGCCCGCCCGCGTATACCCACTGTTAGCGCAGGCGGATGCATTATATCTCAAAGATTCAAGAAATAAGGCGATGTGCTCAACCGTTACTCATATATACAGTACCTATATCCTGTAATTAAAATTACTACACTTACAATATTTATTTATAATGGGTTGTCGTTCTAAAAATAACATATGTCGACCTACCTCATACTGAAATTTCATTCAATTCCATTATTCGATTATTACTATTAAACACTTTGTTTTTTAATCCGAGACGTCACCACCTCTATTCACTAGACAATTTATTTGGCAGTAAATTAAAAGAAATCACACATAAAGTTAATTGTTTGCGACCGAAAACGGGACCGCGTAAATTCAAGGTGCTTCAATGATATTATTTTAACCTTTATCGAAGGTTTTACAAATTATTCAATCAAATAATTTTCCACGAACAATTTATACATTCACGATTTTACCTTTAATTGTTCAGAAATCTTAATTAAAGTGCAGTTATATTAAAAATATTTTTTTATTATCTCATACTACATGAATACATATTCTATGACATAATTAGTTTAGTGGATATATAGAATCATCGGTGTATCTATCACCGAGAGTCAGTCAAAAATAGAAATATACACGGTTTTTTATGTTGTTGTACGATTCAAACTTGGGGTCCAAGAACGAATACTAAACCAAGCTACAATGGTCGAAATCCTATTTTTGAGTATTTTTGCATTTGAATTAATTTTTATACAAGAGAATACATGTATAAATCCAAAAAAGCGTATTAAAATCTAGAGTCAGTATACAGTTATAAGGAGCGGTATTAAGTATAGAATAGTTATTATATTTTTTTTTGTATCACTGGAAAATGTTGAATGGTCTAATTACATGTCTGTGAATATAAATATTGTACAAAATTTTCTAGAATAGTCCTGATCAAACTACTACTACTAATATAAAAAAATCTAAGTATACATATTTTATGTAGAAAAATATTTAACTACATTCAATACAAAGTTGTAGGTTTAAAATATAGAATATGACCAATCCCCTTTATTCTTAAAAAATCATCAATAAGATGTTTTTTAATTTGCACACTAAATTCTTCCTTTGTTACAAAATAAATGTGTAAATTTATTGTTTTACATCGTTTTGAGTTTTAAACTATAGGAAGTGAATAATTTACAAATATTTGGAATTTAGCTACAGTTTTATTACAAAGAAAAAAATGTGTTTACATTGCAAACACGAACTGTCCAGCATGCAATATTACCGCACTGTTTGCATTTTCATTTCTTGTTTTCTTTTTTCACTTTTAACCATTACGTTCATTTGCATATTTCTGAACGAAATAATATTGATTCCCTCTATGGTTTTTAAAAATGGAACCTCAGTGAAATTACCCGTAACCGTGGGAAATAGCCTAATAAACGATAGTTAGGTACACCCATTAACCAACGTACAGATTGCGAAATGCTCACCATTATTGCCTTATATAATCTAGTCAGTTCCGTTTTCTTAGGATGAGATCACAGTTCAAACGATGCATATATCGGTCGGTAGTTTCAAGCAATCGTGTCGGATATGACGATCGACCAAGTTGATTAGTAGTCAATTAAGTGTTCCCATAACAGCACCAATAAAAGTATTCGGTGATTTCTAAGTATTTTGTTGTAATCAATTTTTGGTGTCGGCAACCGTTTGTGGAACAACAAATGGTGGTTTTATTGGCGTACCGAATTCGGTGAGGTCGATCTCGAATGCTTACTGTACCCGCTCCTGGGTTCCGCTCGATAAGATCTTGTTACTAACAAACGTGTATAAAAAAATATATTATCAAGCGCATCAAAAGATACGTATCGGCCGCACCTATTTGACTATTATTTGTGTTTGAAATGAAATGAATAAAAAAAAATACTCAGTCCTATATATTTATATTACATGCATATATATTTATCTTTTGTATACTTATTTATGTATAATAGCAAATATGTTACTATCTATCACTACCTCACAACGCTTTCTGATTACACCTATATGTTAACTGGGAGAGAATGTCATACGGCATTAAGCTCGCCTTTTGTACAAAACTTCTTGTTAATTAAACAATAAATAAATAAATATCTTGGTTCATTAATTTAGTTCTCGTTTCAAGTACACGTCTATATATACCAATATTTTTTAATATTATCTGCACTATTCAAAATATAAGTTCGATACTATACAATATGTTCTAAATATATCTACCGGGTTAGATCAAATGATAATTGATAATAATTATTATTCTATGTGTTACTACCTATATTTGCAACAATGCTACTTAAAATACATTTCACGTTAAATTTGGTCACAATGTAACTTATTACAGGTAAAAGAACACTTTTATATAGTACCCAAAGTAAAAGCTCTGCAAAGTTTAGTACTAGTTGGCCCTGTGATAAAATAATTATATATGAACATTGCTACGGACATCACATTATCTTGTGATGCCCGTGATATCACTCATGCGTTGCTATTCCAGAGGAATATTAATAATACTAGTTAATAAAAATATATACGGAACTCTGTGTAGAAACAGTGCGGCGTCCGCAACGGGCGTGTCGAAAGGCCACCTCAAGAAGCCGAAAGCTTCGGTCCGGTAAAAATTTTATAGTTTATAATTACTAGTGATTGCCGCGTGACCGACTCGATTCGCTCGCTCACGTCTCTTGTGTGATTGTATATATCCTACCCTTATAGATGTCAATTTTCAAGTGCATGTTGCATTAATTTATTTTATAGACATACCTACATGCATACAATTAATGTGTATATATTATATTCGGATTTCTGAAACAGCGCTATGTTTTATATTAGTTAAAATTACACTTTTTATTTAATAGTAATAAACACGTTTCTTTCCCGAAGAAAACAAGCGATTTCATAGAACAATAATTTATATTTGCTACTTGAATTTTAACTGTAGTATATTAGTAGACTTTAGCCAACTCTTAGCCGAAAAATATTTGAAGGAAACTTTGAACCCTGGTTGTTAACTAAGCTGTTAGCGACATAGTTAAGTAAGACAGATATTCATATACTATCAGTATTTTACCTCCAGTTTATCCCCAATATCATTAATTAATATTATATATTCTTAGTAAATTATTTTGTTCCCTAAAGAGCATATAGAATAGAATATACTCCTAAAATTAAGGAATAAAACACAAAATCATGCGTTGAGACGCCCTTAAATTAAGTAATGAGATAACTTTATGGGAAAATGTATTAGAAAAACTATTATTATCAACGTTCTATTAGCTCAAAACCCTTTGAGTTCTGAATTATGTTACTAGTATTTATATATTGTATTTATATTTGTTTATCTGTCTGGAAAAATCTCAGAAACGGTTTAACCGATTTGTATTGTGGCAAGCTTCACTTAAAAACTGTATGATTTATTTCAACTGGTTTATAAACAAAAAAGTTATGAACAATTCCGAATACCACAAGTACGTATTCGAGGGCTCTGCTCTCGGTGGTTTAGCAGTTTAATTTGCCGCCTTACTTCCAATGGTTGCGGGTTCGATTCCTCGCAAGCTACAAACATTTGAATTGTATGTATTAGTCTGGGTGCTTTCTATATATTATATTATGTATGTATTAAAAATGTACATAAATATTTGTGTCAGAAGTTCAGTGACACAAGCTCTGCTTAGCATGGGACTAGATGGCACTGTGTGAATAGTTCAGGTTCAATTTAGAAAAAACTTGCTTATGTAGAAGTATTAATATTAAGTCAAGTCAAATATCCACATGTATATCTTACCTTAGTCTTACTGCCTCCAATAGAACCAGGCCGAATGGATCCCGTCTCATAGAACCTGGTGAGGATTTTCGAGACGCAGCCGTGGGAGACGAGTAGCTGCCGGCTGATGTCACAAGGTCTGACCCCCATGATGGCCAGCTCTACAATTCTTTTTCGCACCACATCAGGAAGCGGTCGTCCATTGACAAACACACCTCCTAATTGATTGACGCCGGCTTGACCTGTTAAAAAAAATATGATGGATCTAAAATTGTAACAATAACACATATATTTTTATTTTTCTAAATAAACACAGTCCATACTATTTGTTGTTAATGTAACTTTCTATAAAATCTTTACATAGTATAAAATGCAGTCTGTTGATATGTTCGCTTAGATCTTTTAAACCACGCAAGTTATAAAATTGGTAACTTTTAGTTTATTTTTCCATTAAATTAAAGCTATATAGCTAATATCCTTTTATACTTTTTTATAATAATGTTATAGACTAATTAAAATTTATCTTATTTTTTCCACTCTATATAATTACAAAATATATACAAAAAAACTAAGTACCGTTATGCTATAATTGTTTTACTTACTTGTTATAGGCAATGAATATTTTAATCCTTTGCATAGTTTTCTACTATTACGGACAAGATAATCTGTCGCAACATTGTCAAACGAAAATCATTCTTATCTAGATAGCTATTGAGTGTAAGTAATACTCACAGGTTCGTAATGATTTCATAATACGGTTACACCTTTAATAGTTGAATAAAATATAAATTTTAATTTTCACCATATATGTCACTTTGTTATGGTCAACTTGACAAGAAAACATACCAATTAACTGTTACAGAGTTGATCAAATTGGAACTAGTCTTAGAAAACGTGTTGCTTAGCTCCGATAGAAAAGTACCAATTATAGACTGTGTTTTAATTTACTGGTACCTACCTGTTTTTTTTAACGTACTAACCTATTACATGTAAATAGATTCCTTTTTCACACATTTTTACGATATAGTCATTTAATTAAACAGTTTTAATTGATCTCTTAACTACGTGCATAAATCTAATTGTAAGTGAAATGGTGTAACAAGAAAGTTATAGAGCATATGCATATGACCAGCGTCCTCGTGCTGGTGGTACTTGACCAGCACGAGGACGCTGGTCGAAAACGATAAAAATTTTACATTCATTAATACATATACAATTTACTGAAAAATATTACTTTTAAATATTATTAATATGAAAAAGATACAAAGAATAAAATAGATAAGTTGGTTACAATTTTTAGAAAATATTCTTTTAGTCTTTCTCAACGAAATAGTAGGAACTTATTTTTATTGCAACGAAATAAAATGGTCATAGTTTTTATATTTTTCTTATCGTATCATATATCATCGCAAACGTTGAACATTTATTTTATATTTTACAAGTTATTATTCGAAATTTAAAAAATACTTTCCAATTTTAGAATATTAACTTTGTAGTACAAAGCATTTGTGTTGCCGGATAGGTATTTATGCTCAAATTTATGGTTTCGGAACTAATTTTCTTTGGTAATTATCATTACGATAATGTATGTCTGTCTTAATTTTGAACAAAAGAAGCGTCGCTCATTGAGTTATTTGCAGCAACGGTCCCCTTCCACCTGTCCCATTTAGAGCTAATATTTATTTGATTGCCAAATTCCCATAATATTTCCCTACCTGAGCAGCCCATTGGTGCCGCCAATTATAATGAAAAAATAAGTAGTTTTTTTTTTCAAGATCTATAAGATACGCGTCTAAATTTATTATTTAAATACACAATTGAAAGAACTAATGAGACAATGAATTATATATTGTTGTGATGACTATTCAATGAGCTTAGATCTACTTTTAGAATAAAATGTATGAACAAGTACATTATTGGAATTATTACGAAATAGGATAGTCTCTCTTTTACTAAATAGAAATATATTTGAAATAACAAAATCAAATTAGTACTGTCGATGAATTTTTATTTATTTTTCAAATTTGTGCAAGCTTATGCATAGCGGGTACCTATGTATCTACTTCAGATTTTTTTAGACCATAAAGCTGAAGAGTTTCTCAACTTGAGCCGAATTTGAAACAATTTTAAAACTAGTTAATTTTAGAGTTTCCAATATTGACCCATTCTAATTTGTCAACTAGTCTGTTAGATTTGTGTTGTAATACATACACATACATAATGTATGGTACAATTAAATGTTTAATTATTTCAAATTAGTACAGATTCCTTATTTAAGTTTTTAGGATCTTATGCATGTTTTAACAGCTACTGTTAACGCCGTCAATTATATAGTAATAAAATAATCACCAAACGTCGAGCGATTTATTACCTTAATGTCATAAAATTAGCGTTCTAATTTGTTCGTAGCAATTTGTGTTTATGACGTTTCTTTAGAGCCGAAGGTACCGCGCTCCCGCCACTACGCGATTTCACGGCTATTGTCGCACAAAACCGCGCTGCTGATTCCAACGGATGCAAATTACTTTCCTTGCTTTACGATTCCTCTTTCAGACCGCTTGCAGTAATGACCGATGGATCGCTAAGCGAAATTGGACTTTATGAATAGCTTTCGAAGTTTTATTCTTGTTTATTGGTGTAGGAATGTCATTAAAAGTCAGTCTTGAGTTGGCTCGATCACATTAGTCTATCTGCGTTGCGATGCCTGACGGAGATAGACCAAGTAGTAGACATATAACGTAGGTTCTGAGAATCGGTTTGATCGACAGACCATCTCATAGAATGTGATCTGAGGTTAAGTGGATTTCAAATAAGTAGTTAATCACGTGCTTGGTAGCTGCACATCAAGTACTAATGTTATAGGGATTCTATTAAATACATTTAGCAAGAAAGCCTATACCACAGATTACCTACCTACATTTGACAGAGACTTAACATAGCTAGATGGCTTACTTACTTACTTATATGTATACTAAATATTTGTACATCGATATATTATTACCCATTTTATTAGGTTATTTTCTCATTTGACATAGGAACAGACTACAATTTTTTTTATAACATCGAAATAGTAAGCCCACAGGTCTGCCCATAGAATGGAAATTGCACAAACATGAGTAGCACCATGAATATCACAAAATACATTGCGCATGATGACCATGATCTAATGTGTTGACAATGCTGAGGACTAATTTATAATGCCTTTATATAAACCCCGTAATTTCACCATCATATCTGAATTTTCACATTCCAATTACATTTCTATGGGGATCAGAATTACAACAATCTGAGTTAAGGTTCGAACCCATAGCGGTGGTCTCAGACCATTCGACAAATAGGAGTTGGCTCCATAAGTCCTCCCACATGTTTGGAATACAGTCTGCATTCGCCCCTATCGTAAATTGAAGCTCTAAAGCCTAGCTGCAGTCAACAGCATTAGAATAGTTCAAAAGAATGCCTATGGAAGTAGATATATTTAAAGGCGAGAGGCATTACGATGTTAAGCTTCTCATCTATTTTAGTTATGATAAAGTAGGACCAGATAAGGAACCCACCAATCAACTCGTTACTTGAAACATCGCCAGAATGATGATCATATTTACGATGATAGAAATCTCATGTAAATGGCAATGAAACGTAATGATTCTCTAACAATGTTCTAAGACTTTGTTGCTGTATTGCTTTCCCATATTCACTGAACTTGCGCGAGTAGGTACAGCGCATATGTTTACATTTTATGATATAACATTCGAGGAACGGTCTTAAAAATACGGATTGCACGCGTCTCAGATGCCCATATCGCTAATACGCTTCCAGTTTTACAATCGAGTGGTCATAAAAAGTTGTTTAATTTTTTTTTGTTGTTGTTGTTGTTGCGAATATCGCCCGTATATCGTGCAAGTTATTGCGTATTTTACAACTTGTGACTGATTTTATAACGCCGGCGCGGCGGTGCGTTGGTGCGTCGATGCGAGGGAGCATCATTGAAAGCCTTCAACGCACAGAAAGTAGGGCGCGGTGATGATGATCAGAAGGAGATACCTTGGCATTAGTCATTAAACTTTTTCTTAATGTAAACTCATCAGTAACAGCCAGCCATTTCGGACAAATAAATTTTTCAGTTAAGCGATAAAAAAGAATTCACAATCCGGTTACAAAACTAGTAGCCCAAATTTCATAAAAATCTGAAATTATAAAATAATAGAATATAATTCTTACATAATCGTTTTGTTAAAGTAAGTAATTTTCTACTTCAAGATTTTTTCTAATATTAATATAGATTTTAACTAAATACCTACCAACATGTATCAAAAGGAACTATAAGTACTTGAAACAATATACCTATATTATACAGAAATTAGTAATGAATAAACGGATTACGTATAGTTCAGCCCTTATACGCATAAACCTGATTAAAATTTAATCCGTTTTTATTGTTCGGCTTTATGTGATGTTTCGGTACGGAAATTTTGAGTAATTCAGTACTTTACATGTTTTGTGAACTTCAATTAGCCTATATTCCAATGATATTTATTATACATTAATTACTTTCTTTTATTAACTTTTTCCGAAATTCATATATATAATAATAATCCTGGATAATTCACACAGCGCTAGCTAATCCTAAGCTAAGAAGAACTTGTGTTATGGGTAGAGTAGACAATTGATGCTATTACTTAGATTTTTTGTGTATACATACATAATATGCATAGAAAACACCGATCGCTACAAACAATCATACTCATTAATACAAATATTTGCACCGTGCGATGAAGCAAACCCGCGACCATTGGAAGTAAAGAGTGTGTATTTAACCGCTAGACCACTAAGAGCATCATATATGTATGTTTATCTGTATGTACACATGTTGGTAAAGAATAAAATTTTTTATCCAGAGGAAAAAAAATGTTAGAGAAAGAGATCGTGTAATGTCACCTACTTGTGTACAACTATTCACCGTACATGACCCTGTTCACCCTATGTCGGATTACTATTGTGAAGATACCAAGCCACTTACAGTATTTAGATTCCTAGGAATGCACAATTAGATTGCGCATTGTCTAATACCCATAATACCGGATAAACTTAGTTTTACACTTTTTTAAACACAGGGATAAAAGGATATGGAATCCTTTTTGGTCTTAAATACTTAGAGACTAATTAATTAGAAAAAATCTATGTCAGTCAGTTTTCACCTTTGACAATGACGACATTTACAAAACTAGTCATCAATTTTCGTTGA